CACCCTGATCCAACTCAAGCTGAAGGCCTCGTCTCCCAGACGCTGCTGCACCCGCCAAGGAACTGGAGGTATCAAGCTTCTGTCTCTAAACGGGTGTTTCATGATTATAATTGGCCTTCTGACCAATATTCCAAATTTATCAGATTATCTGCTGCTTCAGGTGAAAAGACTTTTACGTCTCCAGACCACCACTCTGTTCCACATCAGGTTTTCACACTCATACTCTCAACCAGCATTTCCATCATTGTTTGTATTTTATATTTTATGTTGTTGTTATTTGTTTGTTTGTTTAGTTAGTAATAAATGTTGTGTGTGCGTACACAGTTGTTTCCTGTGTTTTCTATAGCTGACATCCAGTCACTTTACGTATGTGATCTTTAGTTACCTGAGCTCTAAGTTAATTCCCTTAACTTCATAAAACACTCCTGACTGATCACCAGGAGTAAATAATTTATTAGAATTATTATGCTGACTCTGAGATTATATCGCTGGACGAATAATTCAAAGGTTGGTTTTAATAATTGTAATTAATACAATCACTTGCTTTGGTGTGGAAATAAGTACACCTTATTTTCCACACTAAAACCCTACAGTATATATATACATATATACATATATACATATATATGTATAGATCTGTATTTGGTTCTTTAATAAAAACTAAGTGAGGTGAAACTTTGTGTAGGTGGAGAAGAACTGGATCATGTTTCTGGTCAGAACCTCTACTGGGCTGAAGGTTCTCAGAGCGAATGGTTCCGTCAGAGCGTATAAGGACGAAACACAAACGCTCTGCAGGAATCCTGTGAACTATTGAAGCTGCCAATTAGAGCGTCTGACATTTAGAAGAACGCTCGGTGAGTTTAAAGGCTTCTCTCAGCGACACAACAGAACCGGTGCTGTGAAGGCAGCACCGTCTGGGGCGAGTGACGAGCAGAGGGCGGACTGAAGGACATGAACGCTGGAGGAGGCTGCACAGCTGACATTTGACAAATGAGCAGATGGAGGAAGTTCTTCAGACGAGCTGCAGGTCGACAACAAACAGTCAGGACTTCACATTCAGGACTCCAGCTCCATTAGCAGCTGTCCGGACCAGTACTTTGCTCTGGGCCCCATTTCTGCTGTTTCAACTGGTCCTAAGAGGTTTTGAACTGGATTTGACTGCTTTGGCTTTTGGTTCTAGACCCGTTTGGCTGGTTTTGGACTTGACTTTGGACAGGTTCTAGATGGATTCTAGACCTGCATTCAAAGTGGTCATGGACTTGGTTTTAGGCTGGTTTAGGACTAGCTTTTGGCTGGTTTAAACTGGTTTAAGACTGGTTCTGGCTGTTTTTGTTTTTGTTTTTCTTCTTACTGGTTTTTAACTGACTTTTGGATTTGGTTTGGCACTGGTTTGAATTTAGATTCTGAGAGTTGAAGACTGATTTTGGTGTTGATTGGTCCTAAAATGTTAAGGCTGGTTTTAAACTGGTTTTGTCCTAGTCTGAGCGCCCCCTATAGCTCACGTGGATGAGCCGGCGTCCCTAATAAAAGGCCTGTAGACTGTGATCACAGCAAACATCATTCTGCTCCAGACATGGTTCCTACCGTGGTGGTGAGTCGGGATACAAGCTGTTGATTTGTGACAGAGTCTCTCTGTACGAGTCAAAGTCCAAACCAGGAGGAAAGTCCTCCAAGCAGCTGGACCTCAGTTCTCCAGCAGAACCTCCGAAGGAGAACCCGTCTGGTCCTGGACAAAGACAGGAGACAGTCATCAGTAACAGTAACCAGAGTGAAGATCACAGTTTTCTCTTCCCACAGTCAGTTGATGAGCTTCAAAACGTCACAGGACAATGAAGGAAAGGAGCTCAACAGTTTTTTTCTCTTCAATCATTTAAAAACCTGGAATCAACTTTGGCTTTGAATTTTTTCTCAGTGCCTTGAAATGTCTACGTTCTCCTGGGAGACCTGGGAAAGGTTTTGGAACAAGTGACTGTAAATGCATGATGAAAAGATGTGGATGTAGTGAAGGTGGCAGGGCTCATGTAGCTCCACACAAGAAGAAGAAACTCTGTAAAGATCTTCTGAAGATTTTCTCATTTCAAAGTGACTTCATGTTTTAATGACTTTAGAATTAAACCTAAGAAGAAACTAATGCACAGGAGAAGATCTAAATGCAGGCGTGAGACTTCTGATTATTGTTACATCTAGTTGTAGCTCTGCAGCACTGAGAGCAGCTCCATGATGCTGATGTTCTGAAGTGTCCTTCACACTGTGTGAGCTTCACACTAACTCTGGTCTCCATTGATCAGCCCTGTGCCAAGTCTGAAGCAGCTGCCTTTGTCTGGTGTCCACAGCTCCATAGTGACAGTAGCTGACTGTCCGTGGAGTCGTTGTAGGAGGACGACCACTGCAGCCCTGATCAGTGCTGCTGTGGCTCCTTCTGGACCTCCTGGTTCCTGCTCACACTGGGCTGCACTGGGTTCTAGCTGCTCACTGATCTTCTGGATCCTTCTCCATCTTTGTCCAGTCTCTCAGTCAGATGTTTCTCCTCCTCTGTTCAGGTCTTCTCCATGTGGAACCATGACGCAGACATAGATAGACACAGTCCAGAGGTCCAGAACTGAGAAGGTTCTGCTGTTCTCAGCTCGTTGTAGAACCATGTTCATGCAGGTGGACTGATGGGAACCACAGCTGGACTCCCTGTGGTTCTTTGAGGTTCTACTTTGGGGCTGAATTTACAACATGTTCTTTATAATTTGTGAGTTTCTGTTTGTTCATGAGAGGAAACCTTCTGCTTGTCTAGAATCAATGCAGTTGTTCAGAATCTTTGGACCTTTAGGTGATATTTTACTTCATTTGTTAAACTGGTTCAGTCCTTAATGAAAATGAAGCCAAAGCTCCATCAGACGACATCATTTCCTGTTAGTCACCGCATTACTGCTCGTTAACCAGAAGGCTGCTTATTGACCAGTCAGGTAATCCATACTGACCGTAGCTGGCTCGAAGGTGAGGGTTTCGGAGGCGGCTGTCTTTGCGCAGGCTGCCGACGATGATGGTGATGCAGGACAGGAAGAGGACGAGGCCTATGACGATGCCGGCCACCACCAGAGGAGACACCAGCAGAGACGCCTCCCCTCCGGACTCCCTCTCGCTCCGGCAGTCGGGGTACTCCCCATGGCTCTGGTTGGAGCTCACTGCAGGAGACAGAGCGGCAGGTTCAGGTCCACAGCACAACCAGCGCGAAGAAGATCAGCTCTGGGAAGAAAACTGGTGGAAGCCACAGTTTGTACACATCGCATTAGAACAGCAGCTGTTTCACCAAAAGGCTCCACCAGCGTCACCGGAATCAGAACCAGAATCAACTTTATGGGCTCAGTTTGTTCACACGGACTCCAGTGAGTCCTGTGTTCAGTAAACAGACTCAAACTGAGCCAGTCTGGCTGTCACCTGCTCATACTGTTCTGTTTATTCTACTGACTCCCGACCAGGACCCAGTTCTACCTCCGTGCCATCTCATGCTGACATCTGCTGGTACCACATTAAGAATCCTTGAATCCTGGAACACTGAAGTCAAGACCCCACGTTGTTCTTCAGAATCGACCTCATTACCGTATATTCAGGATTCAAACCCGACAGAACACCAAACCAGACTAAATGACTCATGTGAGGCTCCACATTATTATTCATGATGCAGATTAAGATGATTGAAATACTAAAGCGTTTTATTTTGATTTTCTGTGGACACCTTGATGTTTTATTCTATTTTATTTTTCAGTTTCTTTGTTTTACATGTGAACTTAGGAATTAGAGCTGGCTGATATTTCAGCTGCCATCGCTGGACGTAAACATCCTGAACATCCTGAGGGACCCAACGTGAGTCTACCGGGTCAGAACATAACCGAGTCCGTCTGGGATTTATGCAACCAGAAGCCAGACGGAGGCAACGAATGAAGCTGAGCAGAATAAAGCAGGTTTGTGTTGACATGGAGGATGGAAATAAAGCCGACGCTGCTGCAGCAAGCAGGCCAAGTCTTGATTTACAGCCAGAATAAACGTGAGAGTCGACGCCTCGTAGAAATAAATATCCATCACATTTAATAAACGGACAGGGATCTGACATGCTAGATATAAAATGACAATAAACTAACCATCAGATTTCCATCTTTTAAAGACATTATTTCACATGAAAAGACAGTAAAAACAGAGTAACTTTCTCACAAATGTTTTTTTCTTTAATCGACGGTTCAAATCAAAAAGCATCATCCTGAAACATTCTCATAATTAGATGCAATTACAGACATAAATCAACGTGTATGTGACTCTATCAACTTAAAATCAAACTTTGACTTTTCCTTCAGCGTCTCTGACGTCACAACGTTCATGTTTCTAAAAAATCTTCTGACATTTTTCTTCAGGAAAAAAAGGAGAGAACGGAAGCTAAAGCCAGAATCCTGTTTGTCACGTTACGTTCAGGTGCCGCAAACAGTTCAACAGTTTAACTCATAACAACTGCAAACGTGACTTTTATAAAAACAGGATGATTTCGGGTCCTGGACCTTGAACCAGTGCCGGAAGTCTTACTGGGAATTAGATTTTTAGTAAAAAGCTATAAATGGCTTTCTAGGAACGATGGTTCTTTAACAGGAGTACGGATCGGTCAGCAACCGGAACCCGTCTGCTATCTGGACCTAACAGGGTGAGAAACGACCCACACACAGCTGAACAGCACAAACTGGAACCAACCAACAGGTCCGGATGTGTTGTGTTCATGTACCTGCAGGAAAACACACAAACGTCCTGGAAGCTCCACGTATGGCTGCTGATGGAGCCACTGCAGAACCGAGCCAGCAGTCAGAGCAGCTTTATACCCAGACCCAGAACCTCAGCCACAAACAGAACCTCCGCAGCAAACAGAACCTC